TATCCAATGGATAAGTGTTGACAAAACAAACCACACTATCCGCTGGATAGTGATTTATCCAGTGGATAGCGTTACCCACCTTTCGAACAACTGGGGCCTGAACAGTTGTTGCCTCATGGAATCTCTTCACTGTAGTATGATATATATTGCCACCTCCATCATCTTCCAACTTCTTTATTTCGTGATAGGCAGCTTGTTGGTAATAATGATCAAGGCTGAAGCTTGTTCAAACTGTATTTACAACACTGCTGGTAAAGCTAAGCTTTAAGCTAAGGGCCATTCAGTTTAAATCTTGAGTCTTATATCCACTCTGATTCATCTCCCATAGCCCTTCCAGTGGACGGAAAAGGGTTGTATGAATGAAAAGGGGTTGGGAACATGGGAAAAAAACTGGTTTATTTTACAAAACCTGGCCTTGCATGTGGACCCAGCAAACATTTGAACCTGGTGCAGAAAACCACTTACAAATAATAGACAGGTTGAAATAAAGGTCAGTTGAAAGTGTTGCTTTTATCATCTTCTTAGGTTGGGCAGTACCCAAGGCTGAGTGATCCCAATTATTTGCTTCTTTTGGGTATGTTAAAGAGATAATTGATTGCTCTTTGTTAATTACTTTTTTGATCCACTGCATGTTTCAATCATTAATTTTAAAAAATGATATGCTAAGTGGCTCTGAGCTTATCAGAAATGATTCCAACATTTTATTATTGTGTGCTATACTTGTACATAGTCATAAAAGCTCTGTAAAAAATGTTGAAAAAAGGATAAGAATGTGCAGGAAATTTTCAGGGCAAATTTCCCTGAAAAACAGTTGTAAAAAATGGTTTATTTTGTGGGAATTTTCTGGGCAAATTTTGCTGGAAAGCAATAAGTTTTGAAGTGATTTAACAAACATTTTTGGCGAAAAAAGACGGCAATTTTGCTATTTTTTTGGGGGGGAAAATGATGAGCGTTAGCCTATGCAATAACAACAGCAACAAAAACACTGACTTCTTTGAAGTCTGAGTTGAGTTGAAAAAATACTAACCTATTACTAATTAATTGTACTGGGGAATTTTATCAGCCTGAGATTGTGGCAGTACAGACCATGCAAAAAAAAAAAAANGGCTTATGATGGTTTCCACAGAAATGGTCTGTATAGCAAAATCCTGACCAGGAAAGAACAAATCAGAATGTTTGGATATACCTGAAGATTTAACCTTGCTGTATAATAATCAAGGCTTATTTGAGTTGGAAGGTCACTGTACATGGTCAATTATATTTTCGTTGGTAACATGTGGAATTATTTACGCAACAGACCCACTCCTACAAAATATGACTAAGATCGTTTTCCTCCGTCGACTCACCTTCGATAGTTTTAACTTTAAACCCCTGTAGACCATGCTGAATTACGTGCGCCAATTTTTCAAAACGCTTTATCCCTGAAACGAAGTTGGTGACCCCCAATTTTTTTTGTATTTCTGACACAAGTAACTCATTATCTGACTGCAGTAAAAATTTAAAAATAATCTCTCCACTGGAAAATTCACGCAAACGTCCTTAAAAGGGCCATTGAAATAATTTCAAACAGGTGCACCTAACACATGATTCTTTTTAGATTTCTAAGGGGCTAGCTACTTTAATCCAAGATGATTATTGAATGGGGTGCAATGTGTGTACTGTAGGAAAGTGTGTTAAAAGAGCACAACAATTTTCTGGTGAAGTTGTATTAAAGGGTTACAGACTCCCATATAGATGAAAAGGTCAGGGATGCTTGTCAGAAAATTTGAATTAAACCTGTAAAGGATACCAGTCTGGACGTGGCTCGAGCTTTATTTGACTCCTTTGAATTAAGAGCATTTTTATCAATATGTATTTCTTTGAGTCCACCCTAAAAGATACTTTGACATCTAAAAATAGTGGCATGTCATCCTGAATGCCCTAAGTGAGACTGCAGAACCCTTGATTTGTATCCCTATAGTAAGAGAGACAACAAGCTGCGATCCCCAACCTTTTCATAGGGGAGTTCCCCACCCCCCACACCCCCCCCCGCCCCCTTAGCTCATCCCTCCCAATTAAGGCACAAAATGAAATTAGTGACACTCTGATTGCTTGTGTTTTGCAGATACAAGACAACGCCATGACTACAATGAAAGCCACATTATAACAGCAAAATTTGCCCCAAGGGTTAGTTAAATAAAGGCACACAGTGATAACTGAATTCATTTTGGGTGCTAATTTATTTTTAGTAGCTCAAGGAAACAGGTTGTTTATAATTTAGAAAGGCATTGTTACACACTGTAAATTAGGGATAGGGTGCTTATTTCTTTTTTTCATTTAACCTCACAATTTTGTGTTAGAGCACTTTGACAAAGAGCAACAATAGACATAATAATTCAAGAAATGTGACTCACAGTAACACAAGCTAGACTCATTTGATTCATACCGGCAACTACTTTCATTGGTATATGTATCTGACTTATCAGAAGGGGGCCACTTTTTAGAATGGGTTGAAGGCGATAAATCAAATCACTAATGACGGTAGCTGAACATTAAACCATGGATAATTAAAAAAATCAAATACTTTTCAGATGAGTATAATTACTATAAATAATATTGTTTGCTTGAAAAAGTAAGAATATTATTCAAACTAGATTTCATTGTGTTGTCACATGCACAACTAATTTAGACAAATTTTGTATTACTCCTTTAATTTCTGTCGTCTCTGGTGCATGCAGTCTTAAGTGCAATTAGCAGAAGTCTTCATGCAGTTGTGATGTCACCATAAAAAAGTCTGTAGTTAGCAGTTAATGGATGACTAACACTTAGAGATTATACAATAATAATAATAATAATAATAATAGTAATAATAATATATTGCCTTGACGAACCACACAATGTTTTTGAAGTTCATTTTTTAATGTCTATGAAGACAATACATGTTTTGGATGAGACATCATCCATCTTCAGTTGTACAGTGAGAAATAAAAGAAGTGAGATATTAACAAGAATAATTAAGGATGAAGGCGTGAACCAATTCATTTCTCACTATACAACTGACGATGGATGATCTCTCATCCGAAACATGTCTTATCTTCACTAAAAAATGAACTTCAAAAACATTGTGTGGTTCATCAAAACGTTATCTTAATTTGTGCTACTACAAAGCCTTTGTAATAATAATAATAATAATGATGATGATGATGATAATGCTAATGATAATGATGATGAATATTATCAATGATTTGGAAATACAAGAGACAAGACATATAAGTGATAGAAACCAACATTTTGGTGCATCTTGCGCCATTATCACGGCTACATAATTAATAATAAAAAATGATAAAAAGCGGTTTGTGAAGAGGCAAAGTTGAAGCGAATTTGCATAAAAGAGTGTATTCATGTAATTAGCTTGGCACTCTTTCATGCAAATTTGCTTCAACTTAGCCTCTTCACAAACCACTTTTTATCATTATGTAACCTTGATAATGGTGCAAGATGCACCAAAATGTCGGTTTCTATCACTTATATTTCTTGAATAATAATAATAATAACAATAATAATAATAATAATAATAATAATAATAACTTAAAGGTAACTTTGAAATTACATGTTAACCTTGTCATGTAGCATTGTGTGATTGTAGAATATATCCATACCTTCCTCCTGATCATGCATGGAAGGATTTTTGTTTTGATCTTTGAAGACCAAAAATTCCAATTTAGCATGGTTAAAGTCCTTTCTTAATAAAATTTGGGTTTTGTAACCCTCCACCCCTTCAGAATTTTCAGTGATCCTTCATGGGATACCCTGGGTGCCAGAGGTTTTTCTTGCGCAGTTCCGGTGTCGGTCATGTCTCTATTGTGACCCATGTGAAAAACCTCTGGAGCAGAGCGTTATTTCTTTGACAGCACCGAGCCAATGAGAAGCCCCTTTAAATCTGTCTAGTCCAGAATCTGGACTAGAAAGTTGATTGGCTCCTAGTGACCTCCCAAGGATTTTCTAATCTAACAGACATGGTGATTGGTTTCTAAGAATAGGGAACGTGAGCCTGTGAAATGTCGCTTGGTGACGTGATGATCGTGGATGGTGAGGTTGATGTTTGATAGCGTGCCAAAAGGTCTGAAAGATCAAGATCTGGACAAAGCTATAACAAAAGTTCGTCAAAACATTCAACGGTGTTCACAACTTTAAAGCGCCGAGCAAAGGGATGGAATTGCAAATTTCATTTGGAGCAAGGATGTTTTGGCGCTTTTGCCAATGGGATTCGGGAAATCGTTGTTAGTTCAGTTAATTCCTGGACTCTGTGTTGAACTACACAATGCTCCAGATGCCTGGTGTAACAGACAAACTGGAACAGCATTTTGAATGCGTATTTTCACCGTTTGGGGCTTCTCCTCTCCAACAGACAAGATTCTGTAGGATTCTGTAATTTTGTAATATTCTCAGTTTAAATTTGCAACTTCTTTGACAGTCACTTCGAATTTTTCGATCTGTTGGTAGCACATCTTACAAAGAATATGTGGCCTGATGGACAGATTGTCGTCCTCGAGAGTGAAAAGTGTCGTGATTCTTTCGAAGATTATCAGTTTTTGAGCATTTTCAGATACAAGGCTGTAATATCCACCATCACACACAACATTGGCGTCAAATAAATGGCACGACAGTGAAGACTTTAAATTAGGAACCTTTTTCACTGGAGCATAACATATTATGTCTTCACATGCCAGTCCATGTGATCACATTGGGAGATGCTCACTGTGATTGGTTTTAATGTAATCCAATAAAATTGATCAAAGTTCAACGAGAATGGTGAATGAAACTGCTCTGTGCCAGAGGTTTTTCTCGTGGCTTTGCCGCTTGTGCGAGGCAAAGTATTTCCATCCACTGCGCACATGAAAAAACCTCTGGTACCCAGGGTATTCATGGGATGGATATGGATATTTGTTAGAACCACACAATAATTATTAAAAAAAAAAGAAGCATGAGATGTTATTTTATTATTTAAGACGCTTTAATTTACGTTCTCCAAAAATTATAATGCTAGTTTTAAATTGCTTGTTTCTCTTTAGAATGACATTGGTGCTTTCACTGTTCCTCATGATGCGGAGTTGCAGACCAAGGAACATGTTGTAGTTTACGACAGTAACACTGGTTCACTTAAAGACAAAAGTGAGTTGCTTTCATTTTATGCATGTTGCAATCAAAATTAATCAAAGGTGATTAATAACATTCCGAGAAATTAACATGGCTCAAATTAACTTGAATTGTTAGTATAACAGTAATAATTTTTGTTATTTGCATTTATTTAATTAATTTTCTTAAAACAAGGTATCATTGAAATTGGTTTTACCAGGACCTTCAAAGGGACTTGAGATATTATATTGGGGTTCCACGTTATTAATGGTTAAAAACAGAGCTGGACATTGTGACTGCTGGGGTTGCCAATGCAACCAAATTTTTATCACTGGTAACTAACTTTTCACACTTTTCACTGAAATACTTTTGCCGGCGACTAAATCTGAAAACTTACAACCAGTTCAAGTAGTTAGTTTGACTGTACTTATAAACAACTTTGGTTAGTTCTAATCAATTGTCTCAAGTGATACCATCACTTGCATCGAAGAGTGAACACGTGATGCCGAAACATGCTCAATTTGGTTGTCAAATGCGGCATGATTGGTCATCAAACATTTGAAGTTGAGCAGACCGTGGCTTGAACTTTCGCGCTAAAAGTTTGGCACATGGGATGGCAGAAACTGATTGGACACTGAAGACTTTTTCAGAGAAACTGACCCTGACCTGTGTCAATATGCATAGGACTAAGTTTGGGAAAGTGGTTTTACTTCAAGTATAACCATGAAATATTGGCAGGATCAAGACTTTTAGAGTCTTTCAGAATACATCCCCGATGCAACTCTAAGCGATGGTAACTATTGTTAATATTTCCTCTGGTTTTTTTGAGTTATGTTATCTTAATTTTGATCGACTTAAGTTTGATATTGTAATTATAATAGGGCGTAAATTATTTTGCAGACAGCACTGCTTTGTCTTGTGCCAAACTGATGTGGGAAATGGGAAGCAAGAATCCTGTAAAAGTTATCCAAGGTATCTTTGGGGAACATTTTTTTTTGTTATACTTGCACCTGCTTTCAGTGTTACGTGCATAGGCGACATCTTTCAACCATCTTTCCATATGCCATCTTTCGACATGCTATGTAAACGGCTGAAAGACTGTTTAACTGTGAAACTGGCAATTTTTCCAGTTATTAGGGGAACAAACGATAAATGATAATTACTGACCTCAAATGAGTGAAGAAGATTGTGGACTTTGCATGTTTCCCAATTTACAGATAATTCAAACTATTTAAGTATAGTTGATTTACTGTCAAGCTCTCAATGGTGACTTCTGGTAGAATTGGGCCGCTACCTTTCAGTTAATACTGGAAAGATCGATGTAAACATTCAAAGTGGTTGATTTATTTCTCACAGAATGACTTCTTGATACTCCTAGCCTTAGTTTGATGTCAAATAAATCCATCTTTCTGATCTCAGAATCTCAGAATCCTTTGTGACAACTCTCTGTTTTCTCAATTTTGTGCATTTCTTTCTGTCTCAAAGTCTAGATAAAGGACTTTAATGAAATCTTATATGGTCACACACTTGGATTTCAACCTCAGGTTTTAAGGTAGCCTGCAAGCAGGCTCAACTTTTGAGTCATGTGATTGGTGAAGGGTTAGTCTGCAAGCAAAGTTGTCCAGCAGGGAGGGGTCTGCTGAGGTATCAGGAACCTCTCCACTCTCATGTGTGTTCCTCAAACTTTAGCCTGCCTGCAGGCTAGTTTAAAGTTTTATGGCAAAGAGATACAGTGTTATATTTCTCTATTTTCAGGTGGATATGAGGAGTTTTCAGCATTGTACCCATTTCTTCGTACTCAGAAGATCATTTACATGCCCAGGGTAAGTTTGCGCACTATGCAAATAAAATTCTTTGCATGGCCTCCATGCATCTCTTCACTAATAAACTATGTCCGAAAAGGCTTTTAATTAATAACTTACAAAAGAAGAACTGATGAATTTTTCATCAAATGATGTTTTATTAATGTTAGAGTAAAGAGTATAATATTGACTGTCAGGTGAATTAACTAATAAAGAGATCTTCTATGTATTTTAATCTTTGTCATCTGGTATGATCTCATTTTACAATGTAGATTCTCAACGGGGGTGCTCTGTAAATCTTTGGGTGGGGGTGTGCGGCTGGGACGCTGAAATCCTCACCCTATACCAGACCATCATCAGCTTGATTTTGCAACCCTATTTTAGACTAGGCACCAAAACCCCCCACCCTATCCCAGACTAACTATTTTCCATACAGCAGTGTTTTCACTATCATAGTCCAGCATTCACTGACTAAACCAATATCATACGGAGTCACTTCCAGGTTTCAATTCTATAAAATTTTATAGAACCCCAGGTAAATTCAACCCTGTTCTAGAAAATTAGTTATACACTGGCCACTTTGCCAGTAAATCATACCCCATTCTAGATTAAAACTTCACCTTGGGCTGACACCTTGCCGTGGTGGTGAAGCTTGTGTGTCT